CATTAAATTTTCCATCAGAATAATCTTAATTTTACTATATATCAATAAACTTTAAAAGTTTAGGAAAATAGATAAAATCCAGTAGAGGTTGAATAGTTATCATATCATTAAAAGTAAAATAAATCTCTATATTTTGTGGATATTACAGGTTAATATATCTTAAGTATTGCTAGAATTAAAGAATTGCCAAAAGTTCAACAAACAAATCCCCATTTCCTAATAGTAGACTTAAACCAGTAGCTCCAGACAAACAATAAATTATATATTTATTAAGATTTTTCAAATTTTAAGAATAGTCTTTCTGTGTTTCATCAAGAAATTTTGGATATTGCAATGTTATTGATTTTTCAACATTATCCAAAATAGCATCATCTATATTAGCAACAGTCTAATTTACTTTAATTTTCAAAACTGGCCTAAATTCAAGTAATTATTATATTTCTATTTAAAAAATAAATTCTCCAAAACTTACATCTGATCCGACATCCTATATAATATATAAGCTGCTATTCCAGTTCTTCTTATCTATATTTGATATTTCAAAATTTATGGTTTCTGATAAGGGCTAAGCTGTATAGATTTTTACTTTTTAATTAAATTAGATGCTGATATACTATTTATTTTAAGTCATATTGAGATAATTAATTACTAAGTTTGGAGCTTTGACAAATGTGCATAAGCTTAGAGAATCTCTTGTAGTGCATATCCAATTTTATTCAATTCTGCAATCCTTGCATCCATCCGCTGCTTAATAATTTCCATCATCACAATCCTCTTCTTCCTAAAGCAATCCATCTCCACAATTTAATTGCTATTTACATTAATTTTGTTATCAATACTTTTGTAATAAAGAATATAATTACGTAAGAAATTATGCATCCACAATTATATGAGAATGAGGTTCTAGATCTAAAAATATTCTGGTAATATAAATCGAATATCCAATATAAATAGGTTACCCAAAATATTGAATCGCTCCACAAGTATAGAAATTAACATTATTATATAATCTTGCCATTCTAAAATATAAATAATTTGAAATTACCATCTCTTATGTTAGAATTTGCATGAAACTAATAAATGAGAGTTTGATGAGTTGTATACACTAATAGAATGAGTAGTATCATTATAAATTAATATAAATAATACAATTATTTATTTTAATAAAATGCACATAATTTAAGATTAAGATCTTACTATTCAATTTTATTATTTAAAAAGATAAATAAAATCAATAATAATGAAATTCATTATTCTTATTATTTATTATTATTTATATATATATACTCTTTTTAATAGTATTAAATTACAAAATATTTGTATGATAAAAAAAGCAATATTCAAATAAAAATGAAAATATGATTAAGAGTACACCTAGAATATGTAATTATAAAGTCATAAAATAGTTTGACATTTTAATTGATTTCTTTGTATCATTAATTCTTAATCCTTTTTAAATTTAATAAATAAAAATTTATTAATAATATTTTAGTTATGATTATGAAGAAAAAATTGCTTTATTTAATTCTTTTAATTTATTATTAATTTATAAATAATTATTCAAAGTACATAAAAGATTGAATAATTAGTTAAATTTTGCTATTATAGATTATGTAAAAGGGAAAAAAGTAGCTTCCTAGCTTTAGATGAAAATCTGAGTGATTATAATAGATGACAGGATTAATTTAAATGATTCGTTAATGATTTGATTTTGCAACATGCAATAAATGAATAAATTGATAATGTCATTATAAATATAGATAGAGGAAGCTATGGTCAATAATAAATTTATTAAGGAGCCAAAAAAGTTATTACCCTGGAGTATATACACCCCTATTTCATCAATATTCTTCCACATACAATATAAAATTATTACTCATAAATTAAAGCATTAATTACATGTGATGGTTTACTTGAAAATTATTGAATCATTCAGAAAATAATTAATTTCTATCCAATAGCAAATTTCATTGTCATTTATTTAGAGCATATATTAGAGCCTACTTGAAATTAAAAAGTATTTCTGAGTAGATTCATCTTTTCAATTGAATTAAAAAAAAATGAAAGTTATTATTTAGTAACGCTTGTTTAATCAGAATTTATATAAATGAAAGCTTGCTTAGTGAATTTTGATCAATAGTATGAAAAAGTATTTATTATCAATTATTCTTTAATTCGTATATCTTCAAATATAGTCATACTTTAAAATTTATTCAAAAGTATCTATTATCTCATCATTTCAGTTAATCTGCTAATATAAGAGCCATTCTAAATACATTTTAGTAACAGGAGCAATTCTTATTTTCAAAAATAATGAATTTAATATTTAATTAAAATACAAAAATATCATAATCACTAAGAATAGATAATGAAACCTTCCTTAGATCAATGCGGTAAACTTATATAATTTAATTAAATCTGTTAAAAAATTTATATGATATCTGATAAATTTATTTCAACCAAAGTATGCAATTAGTACCTTGGCAACTATGTCTCTATGGAATGATGTAATATTTTTTAATACATCAGAGCTTAAATTAAAATCTTAGGAAGATATCATTTTAATAAAATGAAAGGAGAAAAACCTCGTATCCCTTCTAACCAATATTGAAAGGCTTTCAGAATTACCAAGCATGACAATGGCCAAGTTATCCCAATAGTTTCTTCCCTTAATTAATCACAAAGCATCACTTTAAATGTTCACGAATCCACACTATTGCTATTAAAATAGAAATAATATCAAATTCTAATATTGTTTATTGATAATCGAAAATGAGAAATTTCCTTAAATCTTAATTTTTTAGAGAAAGAACTTACGTACTAATACCCAATATTTTTTGTTTAACTTAAGTAAATATCGTAAAAGGCAGGAAATTGACTTTCAACTCTGAAAATCTCTTCATCATTGCTTCAACCCATATAAATGTAAGACAAATATATAAATTCCTGAGTTCTAGAACAAGTAACCTCTTTTTACAAATAGTTTTTTATTAAACAAACAAAAGAATATTTCAATATTTTGCTTTCTTCATCATTCATCTTCTGGTTTCTTCGATTTTAAATAAATTTTATAACTATAACTATGATATCTTTTCAAAAGAAGAATTTTTAATTATATATATTTAAATTTCTAAATCATTATTACAAAACCACACTACAGAAATTTTCCCCTTTTATTAAGGCAAAATCAATAATGAGATGAATGTGAGTGTTTTTGTTTCTAAAAGATCAAGACTTTCATTTTCATCCATCACTAAACTGCTAACTAAGCCTTACAATAAGCTCAAATGATCATCAAAAATAAGACTCACATCTTTGATCTTGATTAAAGTAATCTAAGTGGTTTTTCGGGAATAGAAACGATGAATTAGTTGATAGGCCAATCATTAGTAGATTACAGAAGAAATTGAAGTAGCTACATTAATATCATTTATTGGAACTTACACGTTTAAAAAAATAAATCCACAGTATATTACTATTAGAAACTTGATGTAAAATATTTTGTAATACTAGGACAAAGGACTAAGGAATTTATATTTTAATTTTTAAGAACTTGAATACTATGAATTCTTTTTTTTAAAGAGGCTTTCTCCCTTCTAAATTTAGCAAATTTTCATTTTTGAGGAAGTATGATGGAGACCCAAGTTAATTACTGATTCTGATTCATTTAGTATGATAAAATCCTATCAGAGCGAAGAGAGTTTAGATCATTATTGATTTCCAACTTTTTAATCGATCCAGATGGTATCTAAATCGACATTTTCTAATCCAAATTAAAATTTTTTTTTCTTTCATTTTGTAATGATTTTTAATTAATGTCATTAAGGTTTTAAAATCAAATCTGACTGTAACTAAGCTTTCTAATGAGTTTAATGAGTTAAAGCGTCGAAAAAAGGTACTGTGATTTTTGGGTTGTTGATTGTATCTTTTCATAAATTATTATAAATGGATTATATGGGAATTAAAAAGGAATATCTATATAAATTAATAATATAATTTTTTGAGATGAATTTGCATTACATATTCTAGCATCTATTCGATTCTAATAAGTCAAGTTTATTATGACAAAACTATCTTATAGATGGTCTTCTGACAAAATATAATTCGATATTTATCTGAAAATTTATTTGGGATTTATGCCATCTTATTAGTTAATACATTGGAATTTCAATAGAGTTTAGTTGAAAATTGACTCTCCAAATAAATATAAGTAAGACAATATTCTAAATAGTATATTTTTTTTGTACTCATCACTAACACTTCAATTATAAAAACAAATTTATTAATTTATTTATATTAAATTAATTTATATGTTATACTAATAACAATAATATGGAATAATTACACTGTTATTAATGATTCAAATATAAACCCACACATAACTTTTTAGAACTATTATA